CGTCGAGCTGCAAAAGTTCAGATTTTCTAACTTCAGCGATTTGCGCCTCAGCGATTTGAACGTTCAGATCGTTCAAATCGCGCTGTTCTAATCGCACTTGAGGCACCGCAGCCCTTCCCGACGCTGATTGAAGCGCGTCCACCATAGACTTTGCATTTAAACCTGATGCTCCTGATGCTGAAATCGCATTTGGTGTGAACGCACAATTACAAAACTTGGTGTGGCAAAAACTCGAGGACATGGACAACCAACAGGCTGGATGACACAGCAAAATGATCAGACAGGGAAGTGAAGAAGAGACACAAAATATAAAGGTGAGACTAATGAGCACAAAGAGGAAACACCTGGGAGAGAAACATGAGGAGCAGGTGAGAGGGGGCGGGGCTGGAGAAAGGCAGACAGGAGGAAGAAAACAGATGACAAGACAGAAAACTAAAATAAAACATTAACACAGACAACAATTGTAACAAATGTATATATATCAAATAAAATAAAAAGTATCAGAAGAAGAAAAAAATCTAAATAACTTTGAACTAATGCTAAATAAACCTGCGTTAACTCTTAATAACCCTGAGGTAATGCTAAATAAACCTGCGTTAACTCTTAATAACCCTGAGGTAAATAACCCTGAGGTAATGCTAAATAAACCTTAGCTAATGCTAAATAAACCCGAGCTAATACACTGCTATGAAATAATAACAATATGAAATTATGGATTGAAGATGTTAGTTACAGGATTAAATGATGATTAGATTTGCTGATTAAAAAGGTGGTTKTGTGTCTCTCACTGGTTTTGCCTTGAGCTGATCCGCTGCCTCCCTCTCTGCCACGATACTCGGCCGTGACCAGGATGCTGTAACGAGTGTCTGGCTGCAACGACTCCAACACCACCTGTTTGTCCCCACCTGGCACCAACACCTGTTGACAGTTAAAGACGTCTTTCAAGGCTCCCGACGCAGATGGAGATGATTTGTAGTTTCTCTCAGACCACAGCGATGATTACAGCTCACTCACGGTTCTGTCCTGGCTCTCAGCTCCTGTCAGAGGCGTGTAGGTTACACGGTACTGCAGGACGTGAACGTTGGGGGGCACCCAGCTGACCACCAGGCTGACCGGGGTTTCCTCTGAAACAGTGACGCCGGAGGGGCCTCCACCTGATACTGCAGCACCACAGGATAAATTATCTACAGTCTGAGTTTGCTGCTTCAGAGACAAACAAAGCCTGGCTCCTTGTGGTGTATTTTCTCCTACATTTATTAATTTTACCATGGAAAACAAGAAATCCAGGGTAATAATTAAGGTTAGATTGCTTTTTCTATGAATCAGCAGCATTTTCTAAATGATTTTTAAAAAGAATCAGAAAAAATAAAAAAAAATCAATATAAATAGAGCATATGAAAAAAATTAGGGAAATCTACTGTTTAAGTAAACACACACAATATGAAAAATTTATTATGTAAATTGATTTTTTTTCCATTACGAGAATAAAGTCGGATGAGAATGAAGTCGTAACTTTATGACAATAAATTCATATGAGAATAAAGTTGTAACTTTCTGAGAATAAAGTTGTATGAGAATAAAATAGTAACATTACAAGAATAAAGTTGTATGAGAATAAAACCATGAGAATAGTCATAACATTTTGATAATAAATTTGTATAACATTTCGATAATAAAGTTGTATGAGAATAAAGTTGTAACATTCTTAGAATAAAGTCATTTGAGAATAAAATTGTATAAGAGAATAAAGTCGTAACATTACAAGAATAAAGTCTTAAGAATAAAATTATATGAGAATAAAGTCAGAACATCACGAGAATGTTCATGAGAAAAATATCGTATGAGAATAAAGTTGTAACATTACGAGAAGTCGTATGAGAATAAAACTATGAGAATAATCGCATGAGAATAAAACTGTATGAGACTAAAGTTGGAACATTACGAGAATAAAGTCGTATGAGAATAAAACTATGAGAATAATCGCATGAGAATAAAACTGTATGAGACTAAAGTTGGAACATTACGAGAATAAAGTCGTATGAGAATAAAACTATGAGAATAATCGCATGAGAATAAAACTGTATGAGACTAAAGTTGGAACATTACGAGAATAAAGTCGTATGAGAATAAAACTATGAGAATAATCGCATGAGAATAAAACTGTATGAGACTAAAGTTGGAACATTACGAGAATAAAGTCGTATGAGAATAAAACTATGAGAATAATCGCATGAGAATAAAACTGTATGAGACTAAAGTTGGAACATTACGAGAATAAAGTCGTATGAGAATAAAACTATGAGAATAATCATATGAGAATATAACTGTATGAGAATAAAGTTGTAACATTCTGAGAAGAAAGTCATATGAGAATAAAGTCGTAACATTACGAGAATAAAGTCTTGAGAATAAAATCATGTGAGAATAAAGTCACAACATTACAAGAATAGTCATGAGAAAAAATTGTATGAGAATAAAGTCGTAACATTACGAGAATAAAGTCGTGTGAGAATAAAACTATGAGAATAGTCGTATGAGAATAAAACTGTATGAGACTAAAGTTGGAACATTACGAGAATAAAGTCGTATGAGAATAAAACTGTATGAGAATAAAGTTGTAACATTACAAGAATAAAATGTATGAGAATAAAATTGTACAAGAATAAAGTCGTTTGAGAATAAAATCATGAGGATAAAATCGTAATATTGCGAGAATAAATTTGTATAAGAATAAAATTATATGAGTAACAGTGACCCAAAAGTCATGGCGGACTACTTCATACTGTTTCGAACTGTTTAATTGTAGGAAGAGTAATCCCTTTGTGATAGAGAACAYAGACATGCATGAAGATGTTGTTATTTCTTCACAAGAAGTTAATGACATTGTTAAGAAGTTGAAAAATAATAAGGCATATGGTGTGGACAAGATTTCAACTGAGCACTTAAAATTTGCAAGTAGGAAAATTTTTCCTTTGTTGGCTATTTGTTTCACCGGGTTTTTAATTCATGGCATTTTACCAAACTCTATGCTGTCTGTGATTTTAGTACCTATTGTGAAAGATAAGGCTGGTAAAATAAATAGCAAAGACAACTATCGGCCAATAGCTCTGGCCAGTACCTTATCGAAAGTTTTGGAGAAGGCTCTGTTAAGCAGAATTGAGACGTTTATAGCGACATCTGATAATCAGTTTGGTTTTAAACCAAAACTTGGCACTGATATGTGCATTTTTGCTCTCAAGGAAATTTTAGATTTATACAAGAGACATAATACCACAATTTTTATGTGTTTTATAGATGCATCAAAAGCATTTGATCATGATCACCGCTGACCTGTCTGATGATAGAGACATTTACAGGCAGCGTTGTAATCAATATGTACAAGCTAATATTCTCCTTCGGAAGTTCTCCATGTGTTCAACACCTGTCAAAACTGCACTTTTTAAAGCATACTGTACTCCAATGTATACAGCCCATCTGTGGCGGCGTTACAGGAAAAGCAGTATGAATAAACTTCAGGTTGCTTATAATGATGGCATGAAGATGCTGCTTAGGGTGCCCCGATGGTGTAGTGCCAGTCAGATGTTTGTGAATGTCAATGACCTGTGCTGTTGTGCTTCGAAGCATTATGCACAGATGTATGTGTAGATTAACAGACTCTGCAAACAGCATCATTCAGACTTTGACCAATCCTGTTCAAAGCTCAGTGAGATTCTTCTCCAGCTTGTGGAATCATTGGCGCTTTAGTTTATATGTCAGTGATTGATTATTTCATTTTATATTTTTTATTTTTCTTCTTTTTTATTGTTCTTGTTTTGTCTGTTTTTATGGACCATAATTGTGTCTAAATAAAGAGATTGATTGATTGATTGATTGATACACAGAGACACGCATGGTGGTCCACAGCAGGTGATAGGAAAATGAAAGGAAGTGAGAAAAAAAACAGGAACAGAAAATGGACATGTCATGTAAGATTTACTTTTTTTCTCGTAATTAAAAAAAAAATGTTGTGTGGCCCTAATACTGCATCGTACTATTTTTCTACATTAATATAGATTTTTTTTATTAACATTTCAGTTGTTTGTCCCATGTAATTATGTAATATTTCATATAATACAATAATCCAGACACAGTGGACAGTCCCATGTGTTATATTGTAATTTTTACTACAATTATAAAGAGATGGCTGTGACAGACTTGACTTTGTGAGGCAGCAAACAGCATTTTCTTTATAATATATAGTGTATAAAACATTATGTATGTCTTACAGGTGCTGTAGCGAATGGCCACCGCTTCACTCTGAGCTCCATCTCCATAAAGAGCAGACAGAGAGATCTGGTATTCTTTATCATCCTCCACTCCCTCCAGGACTGCTCCTTCGCTCTCACCGTTCACCTTCAGCTAAAACACAGTTTGATTTTTTTACGTTTTATACTAATTCAGTAAGATAGACGCACTGAATCTGAACCTCCTGACCTGTCTCAGGTCTCCTCCACTCAGAGAGATCCATTTAATCAGGTAGGAGACGACATCATCAGCTGCAGCTTCCCAGTGGACGGTGACGTCACTGCCTGAGAAGTTTGTCACTCTGAGGTCTGATGGAGCAGGCACCTTTACTGGGAGAGAGAAAAATACGTTGATTTCAATTCTGTTGTAACAAAGACTAAATAAACATCTAATAATTAACTTTAAAGACAGGAGACGTGACACTTGTGTGACTCTTACACGTAGTGATGTTGCTGGTGAGAGCAGCAGACGGGCCTTGTGGGTAAAGAGACTGGACTGAGACCAGGTATCTGGACAGAGACAAGAGGTTCTGCACCAGGACTGAGTTCACCCCCGTTACCTCCACCTGCATGGATAATTCGTTCAAATAAATTGAAGAAATTTATAGTTATTATAGATTAGTACTGATATTATAAACAACACCAGATTATTAGGGTTTCCTTATTTTATAATAATTTTATAATGTTTGATCTATTATGTGTTAATTGAAATATAGTAGCTACATGTCCGAATTCAAATACAACACATAATTAAAAGCTGTGTTAACATTAGGGTGAGGTCTTTGTCTGAATGCCTGTGATTCAGCCGTAGGCCAGCAGAGGGCGAACTCAGGCATTGAAGAATCGTGTACTGTATTTAAACGGGAACTTCCTGTTTTTCATTCAGTGCGGTTTGGCTTGTCAGTCCGGTGACAAATAAAACTCACTCGTCTCTCCAGAATTCTGGTGTTGTATGACATTTATTTCCCATCACAGATCATCTTATTTAAGACTTGTGTTTTCATCTGATTTCAGCCAATATTAAAACACATATTTCTTACAAAATGATGTAAGATCTGATTTTGAGGATATTACATGTGGAGTTCCACAGGGTTCTGTGCTTGGACCAAAGTTGTTTCTTTTGTACGTAAATGATCTGGTAAATGTGTCGGGGTTGTTTGGATCTGTTTTGTTTGCAGATGACACTACATGTTTTTGTTTGGGTAAAGATTTAATACAAATGTTGGAGATGATGCAAACAGAATTTGTAAAAATACAAAATTGGTTCAAGCTTAATAAAATTTCACTAAATTTGGACAAAACAAATTATATTATATTTAGTAATAGAAAAAGAACGGTTGAGGTTTCATATAAAGCTGGTGGTGTTGACATTTGTAGAGTCAGTGAGGTGAAGTCCTTGGCTGTTATTATTGATAAACATTTGACTTGGAAGTCTCATATAAATTATTTAAGAACAAAAATAGCTAAACCAATTGCAGTACTAGATAAGGTAAAGGAAATATTTAATGATAAAGCACTGTTTTATTAAATAATGCAATAATTGTCCCACATTTAATTTATTGTGTTGAAGTCTGGGGGAAGGCATGTAAAACAATTACAAATTGTGTTTTTATTTTACAAAAGAGAGCCATAAGAATTGTAGCCGGAAAACATTACAGTCACCCATCGAATATATTGTTTCATCAGTTGAAATTATTAAAATTTTATGAGTTGGTTGATTATAAGATTTTGTTGATCATGCACTGATGCCTCACAGCAAGAAGGTCCTGGGTTCAATCCCCGGTTCGGACCTGGGGTCTTTTTGTGCTGAGTTTGCATGTTCTCCTCGTGCTTGCATGGGTTTTTCTCCGGGTACTCCGGTTTCCCCCAAAAACATGTACAATAGGTTGCCTTCAGACCCAGGCCGCCCTTGAAAAAGAGATCTGAGATCTCAACAGGACTTGCCTGGTTAAAAAACTGTAAATAAATAATGCATAGGGCTCATAAAAAAGTACCTTGAACATTCAATCTAATTTCATTAAGAGGGAAAGTATTCATAATCTTAAAGGATTTGAAATGTTTGTAAAACCTAAATTTCAAACTAACTTGAAAGAGAGATGTATCTCAGTTCAAGGAATAAGGTTGTGGAACAACTTGGCTAGTGATTATAAAAATACCGGTTCAATTAAGTTATTTGTAAGAATGGTAAAATTTAATTTGTTGATGAAATGGGAAAATATTTAACAGGCATTCATATAAGCTGCTGTCTGAGTAGTTGTCATCTTTTTTGTAATATTTTTTAATTATTTTTATTTATGCCCACTATTTATTT